CACGTGGCGTCTGTCGTCGCGCGTTTGGGTTAGGCCCTTTAGTTTCAGGGGCTCGTCGGTTGCCGCGTCGCCGACAATTTCTGCAAGGCGTCCGGGGCCAGTACGGGGCGATGGAATTCCACGGAACCACCGTGAGTTGGTGATACGGGAGGAGGAGACGGAAGGGAGGGAAATTGGTAGTGATAACGACGAAGCCGGGGGATATGAAGTATTGCGTGTTATCCGTAGTGGGAAAACCGGGGCACCTCGGATCGTTGGTTGTGGCACAGTGAAACTCTCTGGGGCACAATCGATTCTCGGTTAGGCAGGGGGATTCCGGGTATCTTTGCCTAATACATTCTCTCACCCAAGGGTCGAAGTACTCCGAGTCCCAGGAGCTCGGCATCTTATCATTGCGGTGAGATGAAATTCTTCCGCACGCGTCTAACCGGCAAGGGGATTTTCCCGATGTGATATCGGAAATTCCTATCCGTTTAGGTGCGTGAGGGAAGGAAAATTCCCGCCTACTCGATATCAAGGGTATCAAGTTCGTCAATGGTCGCGAATCGGCGCGCGTGGATACGTGTAGGCTGCGCAGATCAGATCGCGCTTACCCGCATCCCCGCTAGGTATTCGCTTGTTTCTGGACAAACAACTACCCAATCATCTAATCACTCCGTGATCCCGCACGCCATCGTCCCTGAGCATGCAAGGTGCTATTACACACCAGGCATCGCAGCAACAACAACGGGTTAAAATGATAAACAGTAATGAAAGCAATAATGACGACTACGCAAAAGTTTCTACCATACTTATGAGTGTATCAAAATAGCAAGCAAAGGCAAAGAAAAGCAACAGGCATAACACTCATTCATCCATTCATTCGACAAAATACACAATAAACGGGATCAAGATCAATCGCAAAATAGGTGGGTGCAGAAATCGAGGCAAAGATTCCGAAAGCAAAAGAAAATGGGCGAGCCGCCCTAAGCCGAGATCAAAATTTATATAGAAAAGCAGAGAGGGAGATAAGACAAAGAAAATTGCAACTCCACGTCCATCAACCTCAGCTCCCTCTTCCTCTCTCTCTCTCTCCGATGTGGACAGTCCGTCGTCACACACCAACCCCCGAAGTCGTCACCCCGCTTAGTCCTCCTGCACCCGTCAGGTTCGCCCACGCGCTACAGTTCGTCGTAACCCCACGCGTCAACCCCGCGCATTCGGCACCAGCTCGTCGGGTCGCCCGACTCCCACTTCAACTCACCTCTTACTTCGCTCGTGAGCCGACCCTCACTGATCGCGCTACCCCGAGCTTCCAACAGCTGGTTAAGAGAGCTATCTAATCGCGCAGCCGGAATTTATAGCGTGCATGCATGCGCGAAGAACACGGAATTGCAAGGACTTAGAAAGGAGATTAGGAGAGGAAGCGCCCACGTTTTGCAGGTCCAGACCGCAGCGTGGGGGACATAGCCACTCTCCACCCATCGATCCGAGCATGCAGGCCGCGATGCTAACTAAGCACAGCAAAAGGGAAAGAAGGAGCGGGAAAGACGAAGTCCAAGAAGAAAGATACAGTTACAATGGCGCCCGCCCAAAAATTACAGTTACTTGCAAGATTAAGGGCGCCGACTAATCAAAACTCCGTTGCAGCCGCAAAAAGAAGCACACAAGAAGGACAGCGCGCGGCAAAAGAAATCCCAAATTCCTAAATTCCTAAATTCCTAGCTAATGCAAAAAGAGGCACAAATTTCGAAAAGAAAATCGGAAGTTCCGAGAGCCGTCAAGGCTCGACAAGATTCAGAAGGAAAATTCGAAAAGAACGAAGCAAAAATTCCCGAGCGATCTCCACGCCTAAAATCCGACAACAGAACAGGAAAGAAGTGACGTCAACCATTATTAATCGCGCCTTTGTCGGCGCGACAGCCACTCAATCGGCCATCTCGGGACTTGCCCAGCCCTGAACCCAGCCATCTTAAACGAAGCGACGAAAGAGAAAAGACAAAAAGGCGAAGACACCGATACAATTTCCTTTCGATCCCGATCTCCCGTAATTGGCCCAACCTTCCCATCTTAGGACCCATCATTGTCATCGCGCGAAAAATTGCGCGGAACAGAAATTGGTTCATCACAAGGTAATTGTATGTTTGCCCCTTGCCCTGCCGGTAGTGGTTTAGGGTGCAGGGTTGGGCCCACCGTTGGGAGTCGAGCTAACACAAGGACCCAGTCGCAGTGTCTAAGGCCAACAATCTCCTACACACCACAAGCAACCGACTCACACTCGCACTCACACCCATGTTGGCTGAAGACTCTACTAATACCGACCTGGAGGATCCAGTTGACTATCTCAGTTGGTTGCCACTGTCGGCCGTCGGAATGGTCCCCCTGGAGCTCGAACTCGGGATCTGTGTTTTGTGGCGTGGTGTTGTGGGAGACGTGCCTGACGTGGGTGAACCATCTTTGGCCAAGCTAAAAAAACGGACCCTGACATTCGTGTTCGCAACAGCCTACATGCCCCTTTGTCATCTTTGGCCAAGCCCAAAAACTGGACCCCAACATTCATGTTTGCAAAGACCTATAGCATTGAGGCCAACAGTGGCGTTGAGAGCGGGAGGGGTGCAGGGGTGCAGGGGTGCAGGGG